AGAGAGAGACCATCTGTGAGGGATACTATCTGTGAGAGAGTCCATCTGTGAGAGAGACCATCTGTGAGAGATGCCATCTGTGAGAGATGCCATCTGTGAGAGATGCCATCTGAGAGAGATGCCATCTGAGAGAGATGCCATCTGAGAGAGATGCCATCTGAGAGAGATGCCATCTGTGAGAGATGCCATCTGTGAGAGATGCCATCTGTGAGAGATGCCATCTGTGAGAGATGCCATCTGTGAGAGATGCCATCTGTGAGAGATGCCATCTGTGAGAGATGCCATCTGTGAGAGAGACCATCTGTGAGAGAGACCATCTGAGAGCCCTGAGCCACATCTGACAGAGGATCTCTATCAAACACACGGGACCTCACTCTGGTCTCTCTCTGGTCTCTCTCTGGTCTCTCTCTGGTCTCTCTCTGGTCTCGCTCTGGTCTCGCTCTGGTCTCGCTCTGGTCTCGCTCTGGTCTCGCTCTGGTCTCTCTCTGGTCTCGCTCTGGTCTCTCTCTGGTCTCTCTCTGGTCTCTCTCTGGTCTCTCTCTGGTCTCTCTCTGGTCTCGCTCTGGTCTCGCTCTGGTCTCGCTCTGGTCTCGCTCTGGTCTCGCTCTGGTCTCGCTCTGGTCTCGCTCTGGTCTCTCTCTGGTGTCTCGCTCTGGTCTCGCTCTGGTCTCTCTCTGGTCTCTCTCTCTGGTCTCGCTCTGGTCTCTCTCTCTCTGGTCTCGCTCTGGTCTCTCTCTGGTCTCTCTCTGGTCTCTCTCTGGTCTCTCTCTCTTGTCTCTCTCTGGTCTCTCTCTCTGGTCTCGCTCTTGTCTCTCTCTGGTCTCTCTCTCTGGTCTCGCTCTGGTCTCTCTCTGGTCTCTCTCTGGTCTCTCTCTGGTCTCTCTCTCTGGTCTCGCTCTGGTCTCTCTCTGGTCTCTCTCTGGTCTCTCTCTGGTCTCTCTCTCTGGTCTCTCTCTGGTCTCTCTCTCTGGTCTCGCTCTGGTCTCTCTCTCTGGTCTCTCTCTCTGGTCTCGCTCTGGTCTCTCTCTGGTCTCTCTCTGGTCTCTCTCTGGTCTCTCGCTCTGGTCTCGCTCTGGTCTCTCTCTGGTCTCTCTCTCTGGTCTCTCTCTGGTCTCTCTCTGGTCTCTCTCTGGTCTCTCTCTGGTCTCTCTCTCTGGTCTCGCTCTGGTCTCTCTCTGGTCTCTCTCTCTGGTCTCTCTCTCTGGTCTCTCTCTGGTCTCGCTCTGGTCTCTCTCTGGTCTCTCTCTGGTCTCTCTCTGGTCTCTCTCTGGTCTCTCTCTCTGGTACAATTCAATACAACTTGTTCTTGTATTTTCCTAAATGACAACAGCATCGTCTCAGAGACTTAACAAAACCATTGAAATCACCAACATGTTGATAAATGTGATAAATGTCAATGTCACACATGTTGATAAATGTCACATGTGATAAATGTCACACATGTTGATAAATGTCACACATGTTGATAAATGTCATACATGTTGATAAATGTGATAAATGTCACACATGTTGATAAATGTCACACATGCTGATAAATGTCATACATGTGATAAATGTCATACATGTGATAAATGTCACACATGTGATAAATGTCATACATGTGATAAATGTCATACATGTGATAAATGTCATACATGTGATAAATGTCATACATGTGATAAATGTCACACATGTGATAAATGTCATACATGTTGATAAATGTCACACATGTGATAAATGTCATACATGTTGATAAATGTCATACACGTGATAAATGTCATACATGTGATAAATGTCACACATGTTGATAAATGTCATACATGTTGATAAATGTCACACATGTGATAAATGTCATACATGTGATAAATGTCATACATGTGATAAATGTCATACATGTGATAAATGTCATACATGTGATAAATGTCACACATGTGATAAATGTCATACATGTCGATAAATGTCACACATGTGATAAATGTCACACATGTCGATAAATGTCATACATGTGATAAATGTCACACATGTCGATAAATGTCATACATGTTGATAAATGTCATACATGTTGTAGAATATCAAAGTGTCCTGGATCATCACCACAGTCCTTCTAGTTGGACACTAACTGCCCAACAGACCCATCAGAGGAAAAACTCAGTTTTAGGGCACGCTGCCAGTAAAGCGTTAGTCGAGTCTTGAGGTGACAAAAGCGTGAATACGTTTTTCCGCGTCACTTTTAGGAAGAATATTCCTGATTTTAGCGATGTTCCGCAAGTGGAAGTACGCCGTTTTAGTTGCTTGGCTTATATAATTCTTGAAGGAGAGTTCTCGGTCAAAAATGACTCCAAGATTCCTCACAGTGTTACTGGGTATAATACTGACATTATCAGAGTAATTATCTGGTTAGTGAGGGAGTCACGCAGGCGCTTCGGACCGAGTAGGATCACTTCTGTCTTCTCCGGGTTGAGAAGTAGGAAGTTAAGAGTCATCCACATTTTAAGGTCCTTTATGCAGCACTGAGCTTTTCTAGCTGATCTGTCTGATTTGGCTTCATCGACAGATAAAGCTGTGTGTCATCTGCAGCAGTGGAAATTAATTCCATGCTTTTTAATAATGTTTCCTAATGGCAGCATGTAGAGAGTGAAAAGAATCGGTCCGAGTACCGATCCCTGGGGCACACCGAATTCTACTCCAGAATAAGGCGACGAGTTCTGATTTACGTTGACGAAGTGATACCAATCTGATAAATAGGATTTAAACCAGCCAAGGGCTGTTCCTCTAAGACCTATATCACATTCTAGCCTCTGCAGTAGAATGCTGTGGTCTATTGTGTCAAATGCAGCACTAAGGTCCAGTAGGACCAGCACTAACACTTGTCCATTATCAGCAGCTAGTAGTAAGTCATTTGTGACTTTGACTAGTGCCGTTTCAGTCTATGATGAGCTCTGAATCCTGATTGAAAGACTTCAAACATATTATTTTCCTGCAGGTGGCAGCGAAGCTGCTCAGCTATAAGTTTTTCCAGGATTTTAGATATAAAAGTGAGGTTTGAGATCGGTCTGTAGTTTGTAAGTATTTCTGGGTCCAGGTTTGTTTTCTTCAGAAGGGGTTTGATTACCGCGGTTTTAAAAGCTTGTGGGACATAGCCACATTGTATGGATGCGTTTATTATATTTACGATAGGCTCAATTATCAAAGGAAGTATGTCTTTGAAGAGCCATGTCGGGACTGCGTCTAACATGCAAGTTGAGGCTTTTGAGGATGTGACCACAGAGATCACCTCTGCTTGGCTCACAGCCATGAATTTATCGAGGCCCACTGAAGAGTCTAAGTGGGAAGTCACGTATGCCGCTTCAGCCTGTCCACTACCAACAGCAGGAGTAACCTCCTCCAGTTTGTCACGGATGGATGTCATTTTATTATTAAAGAAGTGGAGAAAGTCGACACTGCTCAGTGAGCTTGGAATTTTAGGCTCGATTGCGCTATGGCAGTTTGTGAGTTTAGCGACGGTGCTAAACAAAAATCTACTGTTATTTTTATTCGCTTCTATTAAAGTTGAATAGTATTGAGTTCGAGCCCTGCGAAGGGCATTCTTGTAGTTTCGGAGACCTGCTTTCCACTCCCTGTGGACAGGCTCCGAGTGGGAGTGGCGATATAGCCTCTCCAATTTTCTGACGTCCTGTTTTAAAGTGTGGAGTTGAACACTGTACCAAGGCGACGATGATCTAATCCTAATAGTTTTCTGTTTTAAAGGAGCTGCTGCATTTAATGCAGATTTTAAAGACTCCATAGTGTTGTCCACCGTTTGGTCAATGACTGAGGGACTGCAGCAGCTGTGAACAGGTTCACCTGCAGCAGTATTCAACATAGGCTGTATTAGTTCTTTGAACCTTGTGATAGATTTATCATTTAAGGTTCTTTTCATTAGGGTTTTATCTTGCGGGACAGGAAAGTCCTCCAAAGCGAGATCAAATGTGATCAAGAAATGGTCAGACAGCAACGAGCTTTGACGCTGGATGTCAACATTGGAGACATCACAGCCGTAGGTCAGGACAAGGTCCAAGGTGTGGTTATGAATGTGAGTAGGTTCCTCGACATTCTGAGTAAAACCAACACCATCTAGTACGGCGCTGAAAGCTTTGTTTAAGCTGTCAGTGCTGTCGTCCACATGTATATTGAAGTCTCTGCACTTTTGTACATTCTCTCTTTGGTCTCTCTCATTCTCTCTCTGGTCTCTCTCATTCTCTCTCTGGTCTCTCTCATTCTCTCTCTGGTCTCTCTCATTCTCTATCTGGTCTCTCTCATTCTCTCTCTGGTCTCTCTCATTCTCTCTCTGGGCTCTCTCATTCTCTCTCTGGTCTCTCTCATTCTCTCTCTGGTCTCTCTCATTCTCTATCTGGTCTCTCTCATTCTCTCTCTGGTCTCTCTCATTCTCTCTCTGGGCTCTCTCATTCTCTATCTGGTCTCTCTCATTCTCTCTCTGGTCTCTCTCATTCTCTCTCTGGGCTCTCTCATTCTCTCTCTGGTCTCTCTCATTCTCTCTCTGGTCTCTCTCATTCTCTATCTGGTCTCTCTCATTCTCTCTCTGGTCTCTCTCATTCTCTCTCTGGGCTCTCTCATTCTCTCTCTGATCTCTCTCATTCTCTCTCTGGTCTCTCTCATTCTCTCTCTGGTCTCTCTCATTCTCTCTCTGGTCTCTCTCATTCTCTCTCTGGTCTCTCTCATTCTCTCTCTGGTCTCTCTCATTCTCATTCTCTCTCTGGTCTCTCTCATTCTCTCTCTGGTCTCTCTCATTCTCTCTCATTCTCTCTCTGGTCTCTCTCATTCTCTCTTTGGTCTCTCTCATTCTCTCTTTGGTCTCTCTCATTCTCTCTTTGGTCTCTCTCATTCTCTCTCTGGTCTCTCTCATTCTCTCTTTGGTCTCTCATTCTCTCTCTGGTCTCTCTCATTCTCTCTTTGGCCGTTAGCACAGGTTAGCACAGATTAGCACAGCTGTTTCTTCATCACGTTGAAACTCTCTGCCTCAGGTTTGAAGACAAGGCCCAGAGACACTTGGAGCTCCATGAACGGGCTAAACTGTGGTCTGCAGAGGCCCAGAGACGACCTCCTCCACACGGGCACAAACGGAAGGCCGCCCCCCTCTCCAACCAGCAGCTCCTGGACCAACTCTTCTCCGCTGACAAGAAGAAGAAAGTGTGTCCCTCCAAACCCTCTCGCTCTGTACGCTGCAGTGTGGAGGCTCTGAGGAGGAAGCTGCACCTCCTCTCCTCCTCCTCCTCCTCCTCCTCCTCCTCCTTTCCCCAGGTAACAGCCACATACACAGGGTTCTCTTCACACCGGACTCTCTCTGCACCTTTTCTTATATTATGGCTATTTTAGACATCTTTTGTATTTTCATTCTCTCTCTCTGGTCTCTCTCTCTGGCCTCTCTCTCTCTGGTCTCTCTCTCTCTGGCCTTTCTCTCTCTCTCTAGTCTCTCACTCTCTCTCTCTCTGGTCTCTCTCTGGTTTCTCTCTCTCTGGCTTTTCTCTCTCTCTCTGGCTTTTCTCTCTCTCTCTCTAGTCTCTCACTCTCTCTAGTCTCTCTCTCTCTGTATTTGTATGATTTAGAGATAATCTGATTGTGGCCTCTCCTCAGGGCGCCTCCTCGATGTGTAGGCTCTCTTCCCTGGGCGCCTCCCCGGTGTGTAGGCTCTCTTCCCTGGGCGCCTCCCCGGTGTGTAGGCTCTCTTCCCTGGGCGCCTCCCCGGTGTGTAGGCTCTCCTCTCTGGGCGCCTGGCTCCTGGTGTCTGGGTCCTCCCTGCTCCTCCTGAACCCGTACAGAGTGGAGGAGGTGCTGCTGTTCCAGAAACTGATGGAGGAGAACAGACTCCCTTCAATGCAGCTGCAGGAGCCAGTCCTGCTGACAGAGGAGTACGAGACCTTAGCCCTGTTTCCACCTGCTCTACTCTACTCTACTCTACTCTACTCTACTCTACCCGACTCTACTCTACTCTACTCTACTCTACTCTACTCTACTCTACTCTACTCTACTCTACTCTACTCTACTCTGCCCTGCCCTGCCCTGCCCTGCCCTGCCCTGCCCTGCCCTGCCCTACTCTACTCTACTCTACTCTACTCTACTCTACTCTACTCTGCCCTGCCCTGCCCTGCCCTGCCCTGCCCTACTCTACTCTACTCTACTCTACTCTGCCCTACTCTACTCTACTCTACTCTACCCTGCCCTACTCTACTCTACTCTACTCTACCCTGCTCCACTCTGCTCTGCTCTGCTCTACTTGTGTGGTAGTGTGTAGTGGTTGTGTGGTTGTGTGGTAGTGTGTAGTGGTTGTGTGGTAGTGTGTAGTGGTGTCCTCAGGCTTTCTCTCTGGCTCCTCAGGCTCCTGGGATCATCACAGCTGCAGACCCTGAGGACCATGAAGCTGGAGCCTGTGGAGCTGGACGGGACCTCTCTGTTCTCTGACCTGCGACTGGTCCACAACGGCTTCAGACTCACCCTGCATCATCCAGGTACTACCATATCTACTGCATCCAGGTACTACCATATCTACTGCATCATCCAGGTACTATCATATCTACTGCATCCAGGTACTACCATATCTACTACATCCAGGTACTATCATATCTACTGCATCCAGGTACTATCATATCTACTACATCCAGGTACTATCATATCTATTGCCTCCAGGTACTACCATATCTACTGCATCATCCAGGTACTATCATATCTACTGCATCCAGGTACTATCATATCTACTGCATCCAGGTACTACCATATCTACTGCATCCAGGTACTATCATATCTACTACATCCAGGTACTATCATATCTACTGCATCCAGGTACTACCATATCTACTACATCATCCAGGTACCATCATATCTACTGCCTCCAGGTACTATCATATCTACTACATCCAGGTACTATCATATCTACTGCATCCAGGTACTATCATATCTACTACATCCAGGTACTATCATATCTACTGCATCCAGGTACTACCATATCTACTACATCATCCAGGTACTATCATAGCTACTGCCTCCAGGTACTACCATATCTACTACATCCAGGTACTATCATATCTACTACATCCAGGTACTATCATATCTACTGCATCCAGGTACTACCATATCTACTACATCCAGGTACTATCATATCTACTGCCTCCAGGTACTATCATATCTACTGCATCATCCAGGTACTATCATATCTACTACATCCAGGTACTATCATATCTACTGCATCCAGGTACTATCATATCTACTACATCCAGGTACTATCATATCTACTGCATCCAGGTACTATCATATCTACTACATCCAGGTACAACCATATCTACTGCATCCAGGTACTATCATATCTACTACATCCAGGTACTATCATATCTACTGCATCCAGGTACTATCATATCTACTACATCCAGGTACCATCATATCTACTGCCTCCAGGTACTACCATATCTACTACATCATCCAGGTACTATCATAGCTACTGCCTCCAGGTACTACCATATCTACTACATCCAGGTACTATCATATCTACTACATCCAGGTACTATCATATCTACTGCATCCAGGTACTACCATATCTACTACATCCAGGTACTATCATATCTACTGCCTCCAGGTACTATCATATCTACTGCATCATCATGGGCGGCACGGTGGCTGAGTGGATAGCACTCTCGCCTCTCAGCAAGAAGGTCCTGGGTTCAAATCCCGGTCGGACCAGGGCCTTTCTGAGTGGAGTTTGCATGTTCTCCCCGTGTCTGCGTAGGTTTCCTCCAGGTACTCCGGTTTCCCCTACCACTAAAAATATGTCCAATAGTTCTGGCATGCGCCTCCTGTACTGGCGACCCCGCTCCCATCTCTGTGTGGAGTGAGAGACAAATGCCCATAATTAACAATTGTAAACCGCTTTGAGACTCAGATCTGCAGTGAAAAGGCGGTATATAAATAAAAACTTACTTACTAACTTACTTACTATCATCCAGGTACTATCATATCTACTACATCCAGGTACTATCATATCTACTGCATCCAGGTACTATCATATCTACTACATCCAGGTACTATCATATCTACTGCATCCAGGTACTATCATATCTACTGCATCCAGGTACTATCATATCTACTGCCTCCAGGTACTACCATATCTACTGCATCATCCAGGTACTATCATATCTACTGCATCCAGGTACTATCATATCTACTGCATCCAGGTACTATCATATCTACTGCCTCCAGGTACTACCATATCTACTGCATCATCCAGGTACTATCATATCTACTACATCCAGGTACTACCATATCTACTACATCCAGGTACTATCATATCTACTACATCCAGGTACAACCATATCTACTGCATCCAGGTACTATCATATCTACTGCATCCAGGTACCATCATATCTACTACATCCAGGTACTATCATATCTACTACATCCAGGTACTATCATATCTACTGCATCCAGGTACTATCATATCTACTGCATCCAGGTACTATCATATCTACTGCATCCAGGTACTATCATATCTACTGCATCCAGGTACTATCATATCTACTACATCCAGGTACTATCATATCTACTGCATCCAGGTACTATCATATCTACTACATCCAGGTACTATCATATCTACTGCATCCAGGTACTATCATATCTACTACATCCAGGTACTATCATATCTACTGCATCCAGGTACTATCATATCTACTACATCCAGGTACAACCATATCTACTGCATCCAGGTACTATCATATCTACTGCATCCAGGTACTATCATATCTACTGCATCCAGGTACTATCATATCTACTACATCCAGGTACTATCATATCTACTGCATCCAGGTACTATCATATCTACTACATCCAGGTACTATCATATCTACTGCATCCAGGTACTATCATAGCTACTGCATCCAGGTACTACCATATCTACTGCATCCAGGTACTACCATATCTACTGCATCCAGGTACTACCATATCTACTACATCCAGGTACTATCATATCTACTGCATCCAGGTACTATCATATCTACTGCATCCAGGTACTATCATATCTACTGCATCCAGGTACTATCATATCTACTGCATCCAGGTACTATCATATCTACTACATCCAGGTACTATCATATCTACTGCATCCAGGTACTATCATATCTACTACATCCAGGTACTATCATATCTACTGCATCCAGGTACTATCATATCTACTACATCCAGGTACTATCATATCTACTGCATCCAGGTACTATCATATCTACTACATCCAGGTACTATCATATCTACTGCATCCAGGTACTATCATAGCTACTGCATCCAGGTACTATCATATCTACTGCATCCAGGTACTATCAATATCTACTGCATCCAGGTACTACCATATCTACTACATCCAGGTACTATCATATCTACTGCATCCAGGTACTATCATATCTACTGCATCCAGGTACTATCATATCTACTGCATCCAGGTACTATCATATCTACTGCATCCAGGTACTATCATATCTACTACATCCAGGTACTATCATATCTACTGCATCCAGGTACTATCATATCTACTACATCCAGGTACTATCATATCTACTGCATCCAGGTACTACCATATCTACTACATCCAGGTACTATCATATCTACTGCATCCAGGTACTATCATATCTACTGCATCCAGGTACTATCATATCTACTGCATCCAGGTACTATCATATCTACTGCATCCAGGTACTATCATATCTACTACATCCAGGTACTATCATATCTACTGCATCCAGGTACTATCATATCTACTACATCCAGGTACTATCATATCTACTGCATCCAGGTACTATCATATCTACTACATCCAGGTACAACCATATCTACTGCATCCAGGTACTATCATATCTACTGCATCCAGGTACTATCATATCTACTGCATCCAGGTACTATCATATCTACTACATCCAGGTACTATCATATCTACTGCATCCAGGTACTATCATATCTACTACATCCAGGTACTATCATATCTACTGCATCCAGGTACTATCATAGCTACTGCATCCAGGTACTACCATATCTACTACATCCAGGTACTATCATATCTACTGCATCCAGGTACTATCATATCTACTGCATCCAGGTACTATCATATCTACTGCATCCAGGTACTATCATAGCTACTGCATCCAGGTACTATCATATCTATTACTGCATCAATTGCTGGGTTGCAACCACGTGACCAAAAGTATAGATTTTCCTGTTAAATAGAATGGGTGATGCAGGAAACGCAGCTACAGGAACTTTTCGTGGCTATCGCTCTTATTTTGAGTGAAAACTATTTTCAATACAGCGTAGCCTTGTAGTGTTTGAATGAGTCCAATTGTTTCAACAATGAGGAGGATTAAGGCTGTTTTAGTGACGACAGAGGAGCTCGTCACTGTGGTATCAACAGAACAGATGATAGTTCTCCTTTTAACAACATTTGAGGCGAGAAAAATGACTCTTTATTGTCATTTTGGTGATTTGTTATGCTCCAGGGGATAGCATAACTATTGTAAAGCCTGCTTTTAGCTTTGTTACACATGTACATGTTGGTTTGAGACAACCTTTGGCATTAAAACATGTATTTAACACTTCTTTCTCTGTGTTCCCTCGGTTACTACAACCGTATACCAGGGACGTAGGCAGAAATGTTGAATAGGGCGGGCCTGGAGAAAAGTGGGCGGGCCAACTTTTGCCAGAGGAAAACTTAATATGATATCCAATAACACCTGCAGACGTGCCTCCTCGGTTTGACAGCGTTTAGTGAACAGCACAGACTGTAGTGGATACAGGCGCTAACTAGCTACAGTATAAACTATGGTGAATTAAAGTAGATTTAGGAATATATTTGGCATTAGAGGATTTAACCTTTAGAGTCTTAATAAATGGTATACATTATTATGTTTAGTCATAATAATACATATATCACATTATAAAACAAATCACATACATTTATTAATAGTCAAATTACCACAAAACCAACTTTACTCCAGACCTTTGAGCTGAACTGAATCTTAACATCATTGAAACAACTCCTGTTCTTCAGACTCAAGTGTCCCCTCGTGTGTGTGCGTGTGCGTGCGTGTGCGCGTGTGTGTGCGTGTGCGTGCGTGTGCGCGTGTGTGTGCGTAGCTCCACGCACACACCACAGCAGCTGGTGTAGCGCTCGTGAGACACTGCTCTCGAGTCCGCGGCCAGACCGAGTCCGCGGCCAGACCGAGTCCGCGGCCAGACCGAGTCCGCGGCCAGACCGAGTCCGCGGCCAGACCGAGTCCGCGGCCAGACCGAGTCCGCGGCCAGACCGAGTCCGCATGTGCGGTTCACGGTGTGCAGGGTGAGGTTGGGCCTAGCCCTGTTCTGGATCAAACGCAGCTTCAGACTTCTGGGTTGAGCACTTCTCATCGTCACAGACAGAGCCATGACTCTGACTTTGAATGAGGCCTGACTGCACAGATCCACCGCGGTCCATACACTGTAGAAA